TAAAATGATATGAACTACTGATTTTTTGAATGGTATACTTGTTATCATTGTACTGCTTTCTAAAAGCAAAACAAAGTAAACAGATATAGAAAATAGGTATCTAGTATTATAATCAGAGATGGGTTTTGTGGATATTATAGTAATTTAATAGTTGAAATCATGAGTCAATTGAAGCTAAATCATCTTGGAAAACCTGGAAGTACTAAACGGCCATTTCGTCCTAGTATGGGACTCCTCAGAAGTGCGCATCCATGATCTTGCCTCGTAAGATTTAAACCCAAGACCTATCTGTCTCACGCGTGAACGCTTAACCCCTAGACCATTGATCTGACCGGTATCCAACTGTGTTATTGTGTAACTTCAACCAATCAACGAAATTGAACCACCGTACATTATCTCACAACAGATCCGTTTGAAATCCAAAAATTGTATTCATTTCCCAACTTTTCTAATTCTCTTGATTTCATCAAAGATCATCATAATTGTTTCGGTAATTACTGCAAATACATTATTCTAAATTAATCAGTGAAGGTTTTTTGTAACATCATTTTCATGACAAATAACAAAGTGGATTTAGTGTTTGAAATGTTTTTAAAAGAATAGAAAACTTATTCATTAGCTGCTGAAGTTAAAGTTAAACTAACTTAAGTGTCTGGGAAAATCCATTACTGGTTAACTTTGTTATCTGAAAGTTATTCATTCTATCCAACACTATTCAAAACCAATATTGAATTTAAATATATTCTTTTAAATGGAGTCCAACATTTTACTTAGAATTTATGGATTAAGTGTGCATTCTTATTTCTGCTAGATACTTGAACAGATAATATTATAAATAGAATCAATGATAATGTTTATAAGATTAACGAAACGAATAGTTCGGAATAGATAGTATTGTAGTGAATAAGAACACAAGTAGGGGACAACGAAATATACTTTAATACAACATTGCAGAATGTCTTAGTAAAATCTGAAAACCATACAATAAATATATACGAATATTCGTCAAGATTAGAACGAATAGTTTGACAGTAATTGAGCGCCGAGTATAGAGAAGTCATTATATGTGAAAATTATATTTGAAATATTCTCAGCGATTGAAATTTAACTAATTCCAACGTTTCGTCCAGCTAACTTATCTGGACTTCTTCAGGGTAATAATCAAACGTTGGAATTAGTTAAATTTCAATCTCTGAGAATATTTCAAATATAATTTTCACATATAATGACATACAATAAATAATTCATTTACAAAATATCAGTCAGTTGTCTCAGACTTGATTATTTTTTCGTTCATTCTATTTTCTTCGATTTTCCTAACCTTCTACCACTAGGTATTTCACTTTCGATTGATGATACATACTACGTATATCAGTCAACATCAGTGACACACATCATAGTATCTCATATGAGGGATATGATTTACTTCAAACGAGTTAAAAAGATAATACTCTGTATTTTAGTGGCCTAGACTTGTTTTTCTCACATTGTATTATTTGTAAATACTTACTTTAACGAAGTCTTGCAAATTCTGAACTTATGAAAATTTACATTTTCAAAAAGAAAATGAACTTATAAAGATAAATCTATTGATATGACAAATTAAAAAAACAAACAATAGAAGATTTTATAAGCATAAATAGATAATGGCTAGTAGCGGAATCCAGGACGTGCGTTTCGTCCCATTTGAGACTCGTCAGCTGGATGTACATAATGCATTTATGCCAATATGAGACTGATCAATTACAGTCCTAAATAACAGTGGGAAGATACAAGTAACCAACATCAAGTGAATTTAACAAAAGATTCTCCTGAGATGAATAATTCAATATTTGTATTATTTGAGCGTAAAAAGTAATTGAACAGCATATTCTATAATATGAATCCAGGAGCTTAAACAAATATAAATAAATTGGAACTAGATTAAAACACGAAGTTCAGCGAAGGGATCTCTTTACAACGAATTTATTATCAAGCTGTACAATCGTATATATGTGAAAATTTTGTTTTTGTAAAAGTACTAGTTCCGTGAGGATATGTGAACACAGTTAATAAAAAGGTTGTAACACTAGATTACGTAATACGAATAATAACAATAGATTTAGTGAATATAATAAGATGATTAAAATGTTTTTGTCATAATAATTAAAGGTCATAGAGGTGTAAAAAATAAATAAGGTGATATGATGAGTATTTACAAATAAACAATGGGAATATAGGACATAAGTAAAGGGAGGGGGGAATGCAGTAATAATAATAATAATAATAATAGGATAATCAAAATAATTAATGCCAAGGTAACGATAACGATAAGACGTACTTCTTTTGTACTCATAGTTCTGGTTAAGCTCTGGATAGTAAGAGCTTCGTCTATTTTTAAGAGTTGGATACGAAGAAATCTGGGTAGATTTGAACGAATCATATAAACAACCTTAAAGTCAATTTGTGATCTGTAGAATGGTTATAGTCGATTAGGTGTTCAAGTATAGAACTCCTAACTGCTTTCCTTTCACTAGATGTAAATTGTGGGTGTTAATGCCTGAATTATGACAACGCAGTTTATTGAAGTATTTTATGTATATTTTTTTAAGCGTTGCAAATTATTAACCTAATATGACCTGGAATTCAAGAATAAAGTAAGGAAGGTATGAAGAAGAAAATCAATGAGATAATTTATACAGATTTTATGTATAATATTGAATAAACTTTTCATATTCAAAGACAAACAAATAATAGATGAAAATTATTGGTTCCCTAAAGGCATTTGATTTATAATAAATTTGCTTTAAATTGAATTGATAAAAAGCAATGAAAACTGATTTGTATTTTGAGCTTTGCAAATGTAGATTAATAAAACTGTTCATATTTAGGAAGGTGGTTGGAGGTAGTCAACAGAAAACCTTGGACATACGTTTCATGCTAATTGACGCTCATCAGCAAAATGTACCTGTAATCTTGAAAGAACTGATGCTCCTTGAAGGATTCAATCCCGTGCCACCCAGCTTCACAATCAGAGATGATACCACTGAGCTATTTGTGCCTCCACTGACTTCCTGTATGACTGAGATGTATTACAATTGATTAATAACTGGGCGGTGATCAATGTCATGTATGTCAGGTCTTTATTAGAGCTGATTGAATACTATCAACTACCTCCAATCACCGTCTTATCTCAACATAGTGCATGCAATGTTGAGTCACCTAGACAGCTGGAGACACTGTAACTTGGTCGACAGGATTCGATCTGCACTAAGAAAGTGCTGGGACACATGACATTGATCACTACCCAGTGATTAATCAATTCTGTCTATATTTATTCATTCAATAAACTTTGTAGGTATTTACATTTGGTTTAAGTAAATTCATTGTATGTGTCAGTGAAATAGTAAAATCCAGTTCAATCGTTCAAAACAATAACTGTTTATTTAAAATAAATTAATAATTACATATAACTAACAAAATCAGTTCCTATTGTTATAGTGAAAAAATGTAAAACAAAAATTGCTAAGGTTTCATCATTCTTAATTTTCGATAACATACGTTGATTTCCGAACATAACTATACTAATCATTCAACGTAGGCAATAAAAAAACATTTACAAAAATAATAAATTAATATGATATTGTTATATAAGTGAAAAGATTAAACAACCTCAATGATGAGGTCTGTAATTAAATGATAGTCAGGGTAGACATTTCATCCTAACTACATGTTTTTGTAACTCTTGAATAGACTATACTTTAGGTAAAATAATAAAATCAAATCATTACATTGTGTACAAAAATAGGTTTTTCTTATTTAAAGTAAAACAAAATCAGTGACATGGAATGTATGAACATTAGGGATTATGAATTTTTATCTAGATCTTTATGCTAGTTACAAGAATTTAGACTGAATTTTGTTTCATAGATTCAAAACAATTCAGTTATCAACTAGTGGATAAAACTAGAAAAAATGATATAATCTCATTATTTTACGTAAAAAATTAAATGTTTATATCATTATACTTATTAACCTATTGATAACGTACATTATCATAAAAGACTTATTATTTCTTACATCAAAATAGGTAGTTTTATAGTGGAAAGAATTTATAATTTTCTTCATATGAACTGTTTTTTTTTAATTTATAGTTTGATTATATTGTGAAATCCAATGGTTAGAACTGAAAACTGATTATAGTTCTCGGTCTTTAATAAGATATTTTTTTACATTGAATGTAGTAAAATTAGCCTAAATGAGAAAGCTATAATCAATTAGTCTACTGGAAACTATATTAAATGTCTAAAACTACAATGAAGGAAAATTGAGATAAGATGGTGGTTGGAGGTAGTCAACAGTATACCCTGGACCTAGGTTTCGTGTTACTTAGCCCACGTCAGTAAGGTGTACCCGTAATCTTGAAGGAAATGATGCTTCTGCACCAAGAAAGACCTGCCACACATGAAATTGATCACCACCCAGTTATCAACCAAGTGTTAATACATCTCAGCCATACAGAATGTCAGTAGCAGCACAAACAGCTCACTGGTAACATCTCTAACTGTGAAGCTGGGCGACACGTGATCGAAGCCGTCAGGGTGCATCAGTGCCCTCAAGATTACAGGTACACCTAACTGACGAGTGCCAAATGGCACGAAACCTAGGTCTAGGGTTTTCTGTTGACTACCTCCAACCACCGTCTCATCTCAACTTAGTGCATACAATTTCTAGTCACCTAGACTGCCGGTGACATTGCAACTTGTTCAACAGGACACTATCTACACTATGAATGACCTGATATACATGACTTTCATCAATACCCAGTGATCAATCAACTGAAAATTGAGGTACATAATAAATGTTTTTTTAAAAACAACTATAAAAAGCCGACATGTTTTAACTTCTGTAAAATGAATCTTTTGTAAATATTAGTAACTACGCAACTAATAATATTCTTATATATTTTTTTTATATCTTTCTTTTGGTTTTTACTTTTTTATTTTTTTCTTTGTCGACAGGATTTATGGAATTTACCCAATTGTATTCAATTCATTTCAACTATGAATAAAACTGAAAAAATCAATATAACATTCAATGGATTATGCTTTCAATGTGATACAATAAATATAAACAATCAGTTATCTTTTAATGAAAATGATACACAACTTAATAAACCAATATTTAATAAATCAATTGATTATAATTATGATTATATAATTTATTTAAATAGTTACCATGTAAATACTCATTTAACATTGAATATTCATTCTATTCATTTAAATACATCATTACATTATGCATTAGTTAATTATAATAAACATATATCAATGAAATGTTTTAAACAATCACCAACATTATTATTATTTATATTCAATGTACAAATATGTAATTTAAATTATACAGAACGTATTGAATTAAAGAATATGATAAAAATATTTATGCATTTAATCGAAATTACATATTTTAATCACTCCTTAATTAAATCTAATCATGATCATGATCTTGATAATAATGTTCATTTAATTTTGGAATCATCGATCATGTATGAAAGGTAAGAGGAATCATATAATTATGATGAATTATAAAGAGAACAAATCAGATTTTGGATTTTGGTGCGAAATTCATTCAATTATTTGTTTCAATATTGTGTTTGATATTTTAGTTGATATCAGTTGGTGATGAAAACCATAAATCTAAATATTAATCCTTACTATCAAATGTAAATTAGATACCTTATTTTTCATACCGGTTTATAACATTATTTAATCTCATTAAGTATGTGGACATTTTAAAGGTCAATTTAGCCTCGCTCATAGATCATCCATAAATTATAGTGTACGCTTAGATTTCTTTGTTTGTTAAAAATAATTTCAGCGATTAGGAGTATTAGTGCCTAAAAAAATTATTTCATCTACTGTATAGTAGCCAAATAAACTGTATTTTAATCGTTTAAAGATCCCCATCATATTAAAAGACTAATATTTGAACGAAGAATATTCTTTCTGATAAATTCTCTTCAGGTTCTACAATTCATATATCCAAATTAATAACCCGAAAAATGACTAGGTTAACGGCAAAGTACATCGTTTAAAGCATGGGAATTTATGGTGTACTTTACCATTACTTTGGCCATTTTTCGGATAATTAATTTGCATATATAATTATTAGTATGTTTTTTAAATGTTTGGTCATTAGATAGGCTGAAATCATCTGTCTTCATTATAAACACCTTTTATATATTTTTTAGTTACTAAATGATATTGTTCAGTTAAATGTACTCAACTCAACTACCAATTATTAAGCATAATATAAGCGAAAAAAATTGTTAGCATGTCATAGTAACAGATAAGTTTTTTGTTGCAAATACATTTTAATATTAGAACTATAAGAAATACATAATTATAAATAGACTTGTATAACTACTCATTTTCTCAAGAAACCTTTACATATATCGATTTTATTGTGCAGTATTCCTTTTTCCTTTTTATTGAATGTAGGCAAGTCAATAGTTGAGAAATGTTGACACTTTTGAATGGGTACCACATGTGAATTTATGCTTTAATAAAAACGATTAAGACGATAAAAATAATATTGTGTATATGCCACTTAAGCTGATGATGAACGAAGCTTTGTGTTTTAAGTTATCAGTTAGTCACATTTTACAGAAATTATTACTTCCGGTCATGGTATATCCTTGTTTCATGTTTCAATTGTATACTTGGAGTATTATACAATCAACAATGAATATTAACTATTAATAGGAGATATTTCCATTCACGTATTAGCTGCATAAAAAGATTCTTGAAAAATTCAATACAAAATATTTGAGATTACTCTTAAATAATAAAGTAAAGCACACTTATAAAACAATACTACAATGCACTGTATATCATCAAAGCTTTATAAAGTTATTCAGTATTTCTTTTACTCTAACTACATATTTTAACTTGTTAAAATATAAAATGTTAAAGTTTTTCCTATTAAGTATAAACAAAACTGTTTTCGCTTGCTAATCACTTTATTAGTTTACATCTGAATGGGTTTTGTGAAGGTTTTAGAAATTTCACTGGTTGAAATCATGAGTCAAATGAAGCTAGACCACCATGGAAAACCTGGAAGTACCGGAAGGCCCTTTCGTCTTAGTATGGGACTCCTCAAAAGTGCGCATCCACGATCCCGCACCCCACGAGATTCGAACACAGAACCTATAAGTCTCATGCCAGGCGCCTAACCAATCACACCACTGAGCTGAACGGCATCCAACGGTGTTAATGTCTAACTTCAACCAATCCACGAAGTTGCGCCACCATACATCATTGTCTTCAGTGAGTCGATATCTCACAACAGACCTGGTTGAACTCCACTGGCAACGGCTTCTCACTGGAACTCCAGTAGTATCTCTTGAAGTCAGTCACTGTTGATGAGTCCCTTACTAAGACGAAACGGCCTTCCATTGCTTCCAGATTTTCCATGGTGGTCTAGCTTCAATTGACTCATGATTTTAACTAGTTTATATCTTCCTAACGGAAATGTAGACATTAATAAGTAGTAATTTTCCAAAGTTTCTTCAAATTTATTTTAATTTCATGCAAGAATAAGTCATGTAGAATTCAATCAAATTTTAATTACCTATAGCGTTTCATCTCTTAATAAACATGTAATAACTATGAATGCATATGACACTCGAATAAATTAGAAAACAAAACAAACAAACAACAAAACAACAACAACATTAAGTTATAATTTTGAAATTCATCCCTTTTATATCATTAAATGTTGTTTTGAACAATAAAAAAATTATTTTTGTCTTTTGAAGGTCATAAAATTTTTTTGTTTATTGTTGTTATTATTGGTATTGGATCGAATATGTTAAAGAAACGTAGCAAATAAAATATAACCACCTCAGGAGAAAATGACAAAAGAGGCAAAGTTACACAGAGAAGGTTTAGAAATCTCCAAAACAAGACAAATATATATATATATATATATATATATATATAGTTTTAATGTATTTGACATTAATCTATATCGAAGCCTATTCGAAGCAATTAGTATCTGATAAATTTGCCTCGTGTAATAAGAAGACGATTATCTAAGCTAAATGACATATTAGCGCAATATATTTCGAACAATCTAACCACAAATATACTTGTAAGACCATTTATATATAAAATTAATATATTAGCTAGACTAGAAGTGGAGGCTAATAGGGGACAAGGATAATAAAGATACTAATGTGAAAAACAATTTGAAGCCTCATCACGCCAGAAAGTTTTTCAATTATTTAAAACATTTAAGAATTTAATAGTTAAATTCATGAGTCAATTAAAGCTAGATCACCATGGAATATCTGGAAGCACTGGACAGCCGTTTCATCCTACTGTGAGACACATCAACAGTGCAAATTCACGATCTCGCCTCCAAATATTCGAACTCAGGACCAATCGGTCTCGCGCGTGAACGCTTAACTCCTAGGCCACCAAGTCAGTTTTTTGTTAAATCAAAATATACTTTAAAGAAACAAATATCATCTGTACGAGATAATGCTATTTTATTGAATCTATTATTTTTCATCTTTACCTAACAGTATGATAATTATTAAACAACTTAGAAATCTGGGTAAGATTTGAAGAGTTTTTATTTATGGTAATAAAATTCCTACATTCCAGACGTAAGTCATTTCATTTAATCACCTGGCAGTTGGACCAATTAATTCTGACTTAGTGGTTTGGAGATAAACCCTGAAAGTTCAAGGGTTGGTAATGGTGTCTACTGCTGACGTGCTACAATATCGGGAGAAAAAAACTGTCCAGTGTTCTCTGGTTTTCAGTGTCTATATAACTGAAATCAACCCATGATCTAGATTGTTATCGAAATAAAAGATCCACATGAACAACTTAACCTTAAAGAAAACTTTGCGGATTAAAAACAGATTACATCAGTCTTTTCAGTTTCTCCGCCGCTTTATTAAATTGTAATATCAATTAGACTGTTACTACCTAGTAAACGTCCTTAAAATCAATTCATTAAAAAATCTTTATTTGTATGAGTAACCTGTTGTAGGCAGCTTAAAATAATGATTCCGTGATTGACATACACTGATTAATGCAAAGTTTTCATTCATTAGTTCATTGTCACATACTTAAGTACATAAGAAACCAACTACTGACATATTTAAGATAACGGCATGTATTTGCGTCAGAAACATTTTCCATGACTTGTAATTTTGAAAGTGTAACGAAATAAAAAAACAATTTTTTTGTTATAAATGTAAACATCGATTCGATCCAGTGAAAACCAGTTTTATCTCAACATTATTTGAGGATACATAATAATGAAACAAGTGCTAAGTTAGAAAAGTTGTATGATGTAGATAAATATTCAATTCTGAAATCGAGTATTCAAAGTCCTTCTTGTATATATAAATGTGGTGCATCTTACTTATGTTTAAAGACGTAAGTATTATGTAACACCAATCAGAGATAGAATGCCTGGTAGTGGAAGGTTGAGAAGATCGAATTCAAGAGAATGAGAATGTAAACAGAGAATAATTGTAATATCAATGAAGGAACGATGAAGCTTGGGACAATTGATGGAACAAATGGAGTATGTAATCTATAAGTTTGCCTATTTTACGGAAGATATATATGTATATGTAAAATAGAAGACTGTATCTAGTATAAGTCTGAGATAAGTATGATTATGCAAATATTCGTCAAGATTAGAACGAATAGTTTGACAAAAATTGGGCACCGAGTATAGAGAAGTCATTATATGTGAAAATTATATTTGAAATAAGCTCAGCAATTGAAATTCAAAGGAATTCCAACATTTCATCCAGATAACTTGTCTGAATTTTGTTTCAGGGTAATAATCAGAACAACATCCAAATATAATTGGATTACACAGTATAGATTTGATCTGATTTGATTGTCAAACGCTATATATATATTTTGATTATTACCCTGAAGAAGTCCAGACAAGTTATTTGGACGCAACGTTGGAATTCTTTTAAATTTCAATTGCTGAGATCATTTCAAATATAATTTTCACATATAATAATGGTATGTGTATGAAATATTGACAAGAATAGGAAAGTGCCTAGTTCACAAGATAATTTCAAATTACTTTTTACTATGATATGTTCACTTATCAAGAACTATTGGTAGGTAATTTTCATTTCAAAGTGATATTAATTAAAATGAGAGAGTGTGTGTGTAAATATTAAAGGTAACCCTATGTTGTAGTATCTGAAGTTGAAATTACTAAAGTGCGTATACGTATGTCCATATTATCAGATAGATAGTATTGATCAAATCTACTTCTCAGATGTGTTTTGAAGTCATTTATGAGAGATCATTTTTTTATATGTTCATCGTTGCTCTAAATTTTTGTCAGGATATTCAATTAAGATACTGCTTCAAATTACTTGACTAATTCTTTTTTCATGTTAGAAAAATATTTTTTGCTGTCTTATCTCTAGTCTCCATGACTGTGGTAATTTATTCATTTTAATTAATTCATAGTAGGTAATCATGCAAAAAATGAGGA